TCACATATCAACTGAAGCTCTAGGCACCACATCGACATTGTTCAATAATGAAGACAAGCTATCTTTAGTCTTCACCATGAAGCTCTTGCTAGAGTGAGAAATCGGGAAAATTGAGGAGGCCTCATAGCCTCGTAGTCCTAGCCACTGCCAATCATTTGAGCCATTGCCAATCATTTGATTTGGATTTCCACGACTGCACCCTCCATCATTTGGTTGGCTTATAAGCTTTTGCTTGGCTAATCAGATAGACTTCATAGTCCCAAACAACATAAATTGTGAAAGCTAATAAGGTCTCTTTTGGGAATACCAAAAATAACCGTTAAAAACTCATTATGGACTTCATACATCACGCTGAGGAACAGTTCACCTAAATTTGCCTATTTACTTTTATTATCTAAAATCTTCTCTCCAAACTTATAATTTTACGGGGAAAAGAAAGACAGATTCGCCAGAAAGAAAACACGAAACTTCATGAAAGATTGAGATGACTCTAAAATACACAATCGTCAGCAAGAAGCTGATTATTTAAACAACATAATTTGCATCCAGACCATACAACCGCATGTCAAGCCATCATACGAAGGGTTTGGCTAAGATACGCTAGATTCCACCAAGTATGCTAATGGAACCTTTTTGAGGACACAGCAGAAAAAAAGACGACGACTGAAAACACTACTTAGTAGCAGCTTTACATCTTGGACAAGATGCAGCTCAAGCTCGCTTCAATTGATCCGTGTGGTTCATCTATTGGTAAATAGGCATCATCTTCAAACTGCAAAATCATATTAAAAAAAATGTCATCAAACATCACAAAATCATATAAACATTCGCTTAGTTAACTGCATTGCACCCATAGACCCCTTTGATTAATGAATCTGATCTTCCCAAGTAAGAACCACACCACAACATTCTTACCTGTTATTACTGGCTATGTAATCAAAAGAAAGATGCACATATGAGCTATATGCTCTTAACAGCCTCAACCAAGGGCAGCATAATATAAGAATTGGATAAGTCAAAATATTTGTTTGCTTGTTTTCATGGTAGTCTCTCAAGTTAATCCCCGGGATTTCAAACGACTCAAAAAGTTTTTTTTTTTTTTTTTTGGCAAAATCAACAGAAAATGTGGAAGGAAATCCTACCTTCACAATAAGATTATCTTTGGTTGATAGATTAATCGGCAGGAAATGGATATTCGGCATTTTTAATTGGATTGATGATATATCAGGAAACCTGAAAACATGACAATCAAGAATCAATCTCCATTCACCAACAAAGGCCACATATAAAACCATAACAAGTGAATGCATCTAGCCATGTTGTCATTTTGAGAGAGAGAGAGAGACCTTGCAAGAACAGCCTCCGCCATTTGATAAAGAGTGCTTTGAACAGATGGGCTGTATACTCCCTCCTTTGGAGGACCAAAGAAAGTATCAACCAAAACTTTTTTCACATTCAGGTATCTGTCATTAAAGTAGAGTGGCTTTGCAGGAATGC